TGCCGCACCATGGGGGTCACCTCCGGGGCTGGGGATTGAACTCATGCTGAAGTGGCTTTATCTTTTTGGTGCTGTGCTTTAACCTGCTGCATCACCAGGGAGGGCCCAAATTATATATTTTCATATTTAACATATAAATGAAGAGGATGAAGAAAGGAGGTACCAATAACATCACAGATTGTCACGAATGCTCCAGAATCATGGAGCCTGGCTAGCTCACTCTTGTGCTGGGTGCTCTATACTGTCCCTAGAGTCAGATGTCTTACAGAAATGTACACATTGACTTTTTAGCCACTGAATAACGTTTTAAAATAACAATGGAACTGAATAAAAGAAGCCCTTTGTCTTCGGAATCTAGGTACTGGGTGGTTCTCTGGGCCAGGCACTGTGCTGGGCTCTGGCCCGAGCCACTGTAATCTGCACAGTAAAGCCCGTGAGGGGCGACTCTCCCAGCCTCTACGGGAGGGAGTGAAACACCCCTGCGCCCTCCCTCATGTCCTGCAAAACTTCCTCCTTATCTGTTGTGGCAACCTGGCCTGGCCACCATGCCCTACCTTTCTTTCTCTCCTGTGCCCACCTCATGAAGATGCGTAACCCTGTCCACGGATCGTGGCCATCACGGAGAGATGTCCCCTTGCTCTGTGGCAGTCTTTCCCTGATGTTTAGTTATACCTCGTCTGTCATTTATGTTTAGGCTGTATAAGTCAGGAATTACAGCAGAACACTGCAGGACACTGAAACTCAGATGGAGAGGCAGGCAGCTTCTCATCCTGGTTCTGCCACCACCGGGGAGGTAACCACCGCCTGGCTGAGTAACTTCCTTGGGCCTGTTTCCACATCTGAAAAGATGATCTCACTAAATCTCTCTCCAGTGCTGCATTCTTGTGCTAATGTGATTTCTAACTCATGAAACAACCCTCTACTTGGAGGTCTCCCTGGTGGCACAGGGGTTAAGTCTCAGCACTATCATATTATCACTTCTGTGGACTGAGTCTAGTCTCCAGTCAGGGAGGTAACCCACATATGGCGCAGCAGACCTCTCCTATCTCACTCGATGCATATTTCAGTGGACCTGCCTGTTTTGCTCCCCACTCTGTCTCTGGTGGGTCCTTTTACCCCCCCTCCCACCTTTGGCTTACAACCCAGTTCTTGTATGCATAAAAAAAACACTAATTGGGAAGAACTCCCAGGTTTGGACTTCATTCTAGTGGGCTGTTGTCCTTATTTCAAAATTGGAACAGCTGGAAAGGCCAAAAAGAAATAAGAAATTAGAGAGCACATTTCATAAATCCCCAGTGACTTGTTAAATGACCACAAGATGATCACAAAGAAAAGCCACTCTATTTTCTCGTGCACACACACACAGTTTTGTTGAGTAGCTTCATTCAGCTAACTGTCCGAATTAAGTGATCACTTGTGATACTTGTATTAGCGATTCCATCATTTGTCTTTAAAGACTCAAGTTCAACGAGTCTCAGCTCAATCACTGAGCAGCCCATGTAACCTGGGTCCTTGACCTCACTGAGGTCAAGCCCCAACTCTCTTAGTACCTCATTGTCCTTCATTGTAAAATTTAGAATTGCATATCTTTCATCTTTAGTCATATAAGATTTTTAAAATCCTTTATAAAATCTATACCCTTTGTATTATATGTGAATTAAAATTATTCTTCACAGTAGAATTTTCATTGCCCCATTAGAGGACAAATGGCTTGCCCAGGGTCACGCTGAAGCAATGGGTCTTGGGGTTTTTTACCACAATCTATGCAGATCTTGCATGAAATGGAGAAAGCTTTTTAGAAATTTTTTTTCAATTATTTAATTAGAATATTTTCAAACCAATAGAAAACTTGAAAGAACAGTTCAACAGCCTCCCCGTTACTGGGGATGTAGCTTCTCCAGTGATTAGAATTTTGCCACATTTGCTTTACTGTCGTTTCACTCTGTATTTAGGCTTTGCTGAGCCATCAGAAGGTGCAGGGGAGACACACAGATGAGACCGAGTCTCCTTAAAACAGGGATACTTCTCATGACCATGATACCATATTTCATTTTAAAAAATGAGCATTCATCCAATAACATAATTTTGTAAGGATTCTGCATTCAAATTACCTTGTGACCCCAAGCCTGTCCCCTGTAGCTTCTGCCCACCCCCATCCTCTATGCAGGAGCTAATTCAGGGTCATGTACTGCACATGTGATTGCCATGTCTCTGTAGTCTCCTTTAAACTAAAGCAAACCCACCCCCTCTTCTTCCCTTTTATAAATTTATCTTGTTTTTCAATAAACATTGCTGTTAATGTTTTGGAAGTAGAGGCTCTCCCCACTCTGATACAGTCATCCTACAGCAGCCTCTTCCAAAGCACCGACAGGCCTCCTCCTTAGTGCTTTATGCTCCCCCCACTCTGTCCTCACCTATTCTGCTCTCCTCTGGGATGCCTCAGAGCTATTGGCAACTTTTTTTTTTTTTTTGCATAGAAGAACTGGGGTACAGGCCAAAGGCACAGGGGTGGTGAGAGGATTCACCAGAGACAGAGTGGGGAGCAGAACAGGCAGATCTACTGAAATAGAGTGCAGAGGAGAGCAGCAGCCAAGACAGGAGAGGTCTGCTGTGCCATGTGGGTCAGCTCCCTGGCCAGGGATCAAACTCAGGTCAAAGGCACAGGGGTGGTGAGAGGATTCACCAGAGACAGAGTGGGGAGCAGAACAGGCAGATCTACTGAAATAGAGTGCAGAGGAGAGCAACAGCCAAGACAGGAGAGGTCTGCTGTGCCATGTGGGTCAGCTCCCTGGCCAGGGATCAAACTCAGGTCATAGGGGTTAGAGCACTGTGAATTAACCCTCTATGGTTAGCCTCTGTGGGAGGCCCTCTATGGCAAGCTTTCAAGGGTTGGGTATAAAGTTTGCTTCTACTCTTTGTTTGGTGTTTCTATATCCCACACATAAGTGACACCATCCAACTTTTTTTTTCTTGATGTTCTACTAATTATCCTTCAACTGGAGTCGTTTGCTTATTTTCTTGTTGTTAGAAAATGTATTAAAGAGTAATATTTGGGAACACAACTTTCACAAAAAGTGACATAACTAATTTCTGTCAATAATGGTGAGTGTGTACTCCCATACTTTCAAGCAGGGGTCAGAGGAATCAAGAGCATCCCAGTTGGCAAATGCTACCTCCCAGAGCTTCCTGGGGATGCAAGTGGTGGTTCCTGGGTTAGACAGAGAGTAGGAAAACTCCCAAAGCCACGTGTTGCACAAGTGAGCATGGGACGCCGCTTCTTTATTATGTCAGGCAAGGACATCTTTTTAAAAAGCAGCCACCCACAGTGGGTTAAAACACAGCACTGAGAAGCTAAGCCACTGCAGCATGAGTTCGATCCCCACCCCGGAGGTGACCCACACGGTGCGGCAGACCTCTCCTGACCAGCCCGCTGCTCCCCTCAGCAGTGTGCTTAGTCAGTCTGCCTTTTCTGTCTCTGGTGAATCCTCTTACCACCCCTGCATCTCTGGTCTGTATGCATAACTAAATAAATCTTTAAAAAAAAAAAAAGCAGCCACCACCTCTCATCATTTCATGAATCTGTTATTTTATAAACTGGTTGTTTTCACAGCAAAAGGAAAGAGTCACAAACCAGGACAAATGTTCAGAAAAGGAGAGTTTTTCAAAAGGACCGTCTGCGCCTTCGTAGGGGCCAGGTGCAGATGCAGCCCACCTGGCTGTCTGAATTCTCATTGGACTGTGAACTTCTGTCACAAGAACTTAACCAGCAGCCAGACTATCAGGAGCTAAATTACTGGTGAAATCTGCAGGGAGTGGCTTTGCCCTTCTGCTAGATGTTGGCTCTGGGGAAAAGGAGATAGCAGGAGGCCTAGCCTAGTGAGGGGAACAGCTCTGTGATCCATGTCCCCCTGGACATGGACGTGGGGGTGCTGCCCCCATGTTCTCACCTTCCCTGGAGCCTGCTGGCATGTCCTGCGAGGTGCTCCCAGCCTGAGGACACTGGCGCCTTCTCAGCATTTCCACCTCCTGGCTGCTGCTTTCCAGCCTGCTGGCCAGGACCTTGTTCTCAGCCCCCAGCCGCCTGGTCTCTTCCTCCAGAGCTGACTTGTCTCGGAGGAGCAGGCTGTAGGCTGTCTCCAGCTCTCTGGTCTGGGATTCCAGCTGATCTCTTTCTCTGCCCAGAGGTCCCAGCTCCCCTGGCAGACCCTCCTGGGTTGTCAAGGCCTTGGCAGCCTGGTTCAAAGTCAGCTGGTGCAGGAGGCCCTCCAGGGAGCTAAGACGGGCCCGGGTGGTCTCCAGGTCTGCATGCTGGGCTCTGCTGTCCCTCTGCAGGTCCTGGATGGCTGACATGGCCAGGCCCTGGTCAGGACAGCTGGACTCATTGGGACTGACCACAGTAAAGGTATACTGGCATCGGCCACTCTGGTCATTGGCCTTCTGGAGCTGGGCTGTCCTGGCCCCCAACCCCCAGGCCAGACAGGCCAGCAGCAGCAACTGGGTGGCCAGCATCCTGAGCCTGAAGCTGTGGCACGGCGTGCAGAGCCTCAGCACAGGGGTAGGGAGGTGGCCTCTGGGAAGCTTTTCTGTGCCGGGAGGTGCCTGGATGGTGACCCAGCCCCACAGAGGTTTATATACACAGGGAGCCAGTCCTGCACAGAGCAAGAACAAGGGCCCACGTGAGGCTGGGTGGGGCCGTGCACCGGGGGGTGCTTTCTCACTGCCAGCCAGAGTCTTAGAAAATGACCTTTTAGAAATCTGTTTTGAATTTCTTTAAAAAAAATAATCCCGGCCCCTCCCTGGTGGTGCAATGGGTTAAAGCGCAGCACTGCGAAGCTAGCCGCTGCCACTTCGATCCCCCCTCCAGGGAGCTGACCCACATGGCGAGGCAGACCTCTCCTGTCTCTCCCACTGCTCCCCTCAGCAGTGTACTTGTCAGTTGGCCTTTTCTGCTCCTCACTCTGTCTCTGGTGATCTTCTCTCCCCACCTGCACCTCTGGCCTGTTCCCTAGTTCTATACGCATGAATAAATAAATCTTGAAAAAAAAATGCCACTTTACAGACCCCATAATAACCCCTATATCTCCACCTTTTACACACATGTGCCTCCTGCATTCAGCATGACTTCTTGCGTGCTGATTTCAACAGGGATTTATTTCTGGTTTACATTTCCATTTACTGAGTAAGCGCCATTGAGAACTTGTTCTCTGTTAGGTACTAGGCTAGGAGCCAGGGCCACAGACTTGCCTCAGACGGTCCCTCTGTCCCTGCAGCAGGGACAGAGGCAAATAACATCCTGTCAGGATACAAAGGTAGCACAGCTCCACTACTGGGAGCAGCAAGACTAGAGAAGCCATTTTAAAACAACGGTGGCCGTATTCTTAGGAGAGCTTTGCACTGTGGCATTGTACCTCAGGCATCACCGTAACATCAATCAATGTTTAAACTTACTGTTCTAGAATTGTTCACAATTGTTCATACACAGTTCTTACTGTTGTGTGTGTTAGCATGTGCCATGAACCTTACTGATGAAACCTTTGGAACCTTTCTCAAAATGATATTTTTTAAAGTATACAATACATAGGATTTCCAAGGAAATACACGATAGTAAAATACAATTACTAAAATATTTTTTAGAATTGAAATCTACATATCCTTAACACAAGAAAATCCACTAGGGCCCTCCCTAGTGGTGCAGTGGGTGAAAGCACAGCACTTCGTAGCTGTCTGCAGCCTCTGCTGCATGAGTTTGATACCTGGCCAGGGAGGTGACCCACATGACGTGGCGAAGCTGAAGTTAAAGTGTGTCCTTGTGGCTTTATCCATAGTGAAATGAAAGGTTAAACATATATTTTAGTTAGAAGATGGTGAAAAGAAAGATGTCATTTTCTTCCCATTCAACTTCATGGGCTTTCTGGCTCCTTGGTCAATAATGCCTGCTCTGCCATAAGTCCAAAAAGAAAAAAAAGAAACAAATGGGGGAGCTACTAAATATCCCCAGGGGAACACTATTGTGTGTGCTGAGGAAAAGCAAATGAGGCTGATGGTCTGGTGAATTTTCCTCAATCTTTGTGGTTCAACCTCACTACCCCACGACCAGCCTGGTGATAGGACAGGGTTCCCACACTGTGTCTTCTGCTGCCCTCATCACGATCCACTGACACCCCACTGTTTGCACAGTCTATTACCCACTTTCTGTATCCCTCCCTCAAAGCATTTACTACTTTCCATACACCACAGATGAGAAAGCTAAGGCCCAGAGAGGGAGAGGTTCTTGCCCTGAGTCACACAGCCAATCAGGGGCAGAACGAAAGTCTGTTGTTTCCAAGGTTTTCCACGACCTGGCATGAGCCAATCCACCTAAACACCCAGAATTGCCAAGAATACATGAAAGACTCCAGTCACTTCTTCCAGGAATCAAGGTTCTGGGGATTGAGCTAGCTTCCTATAGCCCCTATAAAGGTCCTCAGTGAAGGAAAAATCAGACACACCCTGGCGAGTTTTTTTACAGCTAATTTATGAAACAGCAACCGTTCATGTAATAGAATTACTTTCCAAGAAGCAAAGAAAATGGCTCACTGGGAGACACATCCCGGCGGTTTTCATCTCCCTGCCTGCCTTTCTGGAGTCCACCCAGTGCGGGCTTCACTCCCTACACCCCTCCTAGAATCTCCTGAACTTGAAGACCCCTTGCCCTCCGAGGACACACTGTTAACTTCAGGTTTGCTTCTCGGCTGTGTTCCATCCTCCGGGTCGTTTCTGGGACCAGAATCCCGGGAATCTCCAGATCAGATGTTTGGGGCCACCAGAGACAGCGAGGCCTGCCAAAGGCAGTTAAACTTGTTGGAACTGCTGACGCAGGACAGGGCAAGATGCTGGCAGCAGGGGGCGCTAGGGAGTGGTGTGATCACCGGTTATTCGTGCCTTTCAAGGTTGTGTTTATTTTTGTTCCTTTAGCCCTGGTTCAAACTGGTTGGCAACTGATTTTCTTCTGCCATTTTTCCATGAGAAGCTTTATCCCCCTCCTCCATGAAAGTAAGACTGTGGCTGCTTTGCTCCCTGTTGTCTGGAAAGTATAGTTAAGTGTTCAAAAATCTTTTTTTATTTTTTAAAGATTTATTTATTTGTGCATACAGAACTGGGGTACAGGCCAGAGGTGCGGAGGGTGAGAGGATTCACCAGACACAGTGGGGGCAGAACAGGCAGATCGAGGGAGTACACTGCTGAGGGGAGCAGTGGGCGGGGTCAGGAGAGGTCTGCCGCGCCATGTGGATCTCCTCTGGGGCAGGCGGGAATCGAACTCATGCGGAAGTGGTTTCAGCTTCTTAGTGCAGTGCTTTAACCCGCTGCGCCACCAGGGAGGGCTTCAGTCTTTTCATGGATGCATGGATAGATATGGAATAAAAGCAGAAACAGAAAACTAAGAGAACAGAGATGAGAACAGAGCCACCAGAGATACTTAAATGTACCAGAGGCAATGTTGGGGGACAGTGGGAGAAGCAGAGGAGACCAGTGGGCTTGGTAGTGTAGGAATTAGGCCTGCGGACCCCAGCCCCGTGTGAATATGCATTTTCTCAATCAGTACAGATCACAAGTCCTACTTCTGTTGCCATGGGGATCTGAGAATGTCTTGTCTGCAATAGTTTCTCAGACACTAAAGGCTTATACTTTACTGGCGGGGCACAGTATAAATCAAGACTTTTTTGTTTTCCTACATCTTTGTTCATTTTTGTACAATATTTGCTTTCTCTCCTTAGCTGTAGTCCCCATAAATCACCCATCATCATGCCACCCGTGAACTATCACCAGTCCCTTGTTTTATCCATCTCGTTTTGAGCACCTCCTTCCCCCTCCCCTGCTTTATGTCTCAGATCTATAATTTGCCTGCTAGTTTTGTCTTTCCCACATACCCCCACCCCAGTCAAGACTTTTTGCCTCTATCAAAGTAGGAAAACTTCAAATTTGGAAAATCAGGAAATCACCTTAGGTCCACAACCTAATGTCCTGCTTGGACATTGTGTTATATATTAACTGTGGATATATTTCAAGTCCAGTGAGCTCCCTCACCAGCTTCCATCTTTCTACAAAATCTAGTAACCCTGTGGTCAGGAAATTTCAAATGATTTTACTACTAACACTAACAAGACTGAATCAAAAAGGTAAATCTGCTAAAAACAAATAAAAACCAAGAATGCAGTGCATTCCAAGTTAAATATAACTTTGAATTTTTTTTTTTTACAGTTTATATCTTTTTGTGTCATTGCAACAGGTAATACTGACTCTGCACGCTTTCTGGAATCTTGTTTCACTTTTGTTGCAAGAACACTGGCATTCCCTGTCTCCTCTGTCCCTCTGAGTGTTCCTCCCGTCTTATGTAGGTTCTTTTCCTCCTTCTGTTCCATATCTTTTTTTGTTTGTTTAGATTTTTTTTCTTTTTTTTGGAGAAAAACTGGGGTGTAGGCCAATGGTGTGGGGGCTGGGAGGGGTTGAGAGGATTCACCAGAGGCAGAGTGGGGAACAGAACAAATGGATCTACTGAAATACACAGCTTAGGGGAGCAGTGGGGAAGACAGGAGAGGTCTGCTGTGCCCTGTGGATCAGCTCCTTGGCTGGGGTTTGAACTCAGGCTATAAAGGTGATTTAACTCCTGTTAAATATTAAAGTGCTGAGATTGAACCCCTAAGCCACCAGGAAGGCCCCTTCTTTTCATATCTATGGGTGATTTCTTTTTTTAAAGATTTATTTATGCATACAGAACTGGGGTACAGGCCAGAGGTGCAGCAGGTGAGAGTATTTACCAGAAACAACTTGGGGAACAGAACAGGTAGATGCATTGAAACATACTGCTGAGGGGAGCAGTGGGTGGGTCAGCAATCTGCTCTGCCATGTGGGTCTCCTCCTTGGCTGGGGATCGAACTCATGCTGCAGTGGCTGTGGATAGCTTTAACCTTTTGTGCCACCACAACAGGAGGGCCCTCTGTGGGTGCCCTTTTTACCAACCCCTCTTTCTCACAATACATACAACTGCTTGTAGAGTTCCTCCCTGGAAGCTGCCTTCCAAGATGGCCTCAAGGACCTCACCTAGTGTTCACACACTCTGTAGGCTCCTTCCTCTCTGGGCTGGGATTCCTCGGTTTGGGAAATCACACTGACAGGGTGCTAGTGTGTTTCTTTCTGAGATTAAGTTGCTTTCTAGCTGCTCATTATCCCCCAAGAGTCCTTCCCCTTTCAGAGTTCATCTTTTTTTCCAGCAGATTCATGTTCAAAGGATTCAACACATCCACCTATTGTATGTTCGAAGAGACACTGACAAACATTCCAAATTTGTTCTTGAACTGTTCTCTGTGGATTCCTTTCTTCTCAACTAGAATGCAAGCTATAACGCACTGAATACTTTAGGTAAAGACTAATTCCCCTTGCATTCGGGTCTATTATGTGCCAGATATTGTGCTATGTACTTTACCTGCCTCACCTGTTTTAACTTCAAATTCTGCAAAAAAAATCCCCCACTT